GAGATTTGGTTCTGGAACTCAAGTCAGGGTTGGAGGTATATTTGGGGGAGTAATTTTCATGGAAGTGATAGTTCATGAAAGTGACAGATTCTTGAAGACAATCCATATTGGAAAGCAAATGAGGAATCAAGGAAGGTGCAATTCAAATAGTAGGAGGAGAACCAGGGGAGTGTGTGGCATCTTGGAAGTTAAGAGAGAGTGTATCCAGAATGAATGAAAGTCAAATACTTCAGAGAAGTCATGGAAGATGAAAAGGGAGAAAAAAAGACTTTTGAAATTCGCCATTAAGGGTCATTTGTTGACTTTGGGTGGAGCAATTTCCAAAGTTAAGTGGTGATGATAGAAACCAGATTGCAAGTGGTTGAGGGTAAATAGATGAGAGAAAGTGGAAACACTGGATGTGGACTGCTTTTTCAAGAAGTTTGACATTGAAGAGAAAGTGAAAAATGAGATGATAGCTTGAGAGTTTTTAATGGGCTTGGAGAAAGGCAATATTTTGCCTTTGTTTGGCTGCTTGTTTTAAATGTCTGTATTGAAAAAGTTCACAAAATAATTAATGAAGATATAAATTTAGAGTTATTGTGAGTGATATAATTCAATTCATTTCAACAATAATTTATTAATTGTTCATATAATCAGCACATAATTATTTCCCATTTCTCCCATTTCCTTTCTATTTTCCCCCTTTTTTCCTCTCACCTTTTTTGGTAATCTTTGCTTCCTTGCCCAATGAAAAGTCTTCGTAGAAATGTAGAATCATAGATTTAGAGCTGGAAGGGACCTTAGATACAATCTAGCTGAAAGCACTATTATTGCGCAGTGTAGGCAGGAAAGATACAAAAATATCACTTGAAAAATAACTGTAAGCTGTGAACTGGTCCAGCTATACCAAAGAAATCAATGAAAGAGGAAAAGGTCCCATATGTACAAAAAATATTTCTAGCTGCTTGTTTTGTAGTAGCAAAGTATTGGAAACCAAAGGAATGCCTATCAATTCAGGAAAGGCTGAACAATTTATGGTATATGAATATAATGGAATACTATTATACAGTAAGAAATGATGAAGGAGATGGTTTCAGAAAAACCTGGGAGGACTTGTATGAACTGATGCAAAGTGATGTGAGCAAAACCTGGAGAACAATTTCTAAGATAACAATAAACTTATAATAAACTGTAAAGATAAATTTTGAAATACTTAGTTTTTTGATCAATACAGTGGCCAACCACAGTTCAATGGCCTCTTGATGAAACATGCTATCTGATGGAGTTGGCGCATAGATTGAACCAACCAACCAGTCAACCAACTTTCCTTCCTTCCTTCCTTCCTTCCTTCCTTCCTTCCTTCCTTCCTTCCTTCCTTCCTTCCTTCCTTCCTTCCTTCCTTCCTTCCTTCCTTCCTTCCTTCCTTCCTTCTTTCCTTCCTTTTTCCCTCCCTCCCTTTGAATTTGCTTTGCATGAATACGTATTTTAAATTGATTTTGCATTCCTTACATTTACAATGAATGGGGGAGGGGAAAAAGGAGAGAATTTAGAACTGAAGATAAAATAAATTTGAATTAAAACAAATTTTTAAAACTTTATATATATATGTATTTTAAAGAAAATAGCTCCATAGTATAATCAGTCTGTCTTATGAAATCAGTTCCCCTATGTGAGACTAATGGGATTTTGGTTAAAATGTAGTCGACTGTAACATTTAAATCATGGATCACTTTTTCCAAAACAACAACAAAAGTAGTTAAACTTGGTTTTGCAGTTAGGGTAGTATTTTTTGTGTTGTCATAGAATGCAGGTCTTTAGATCAAATAAATTTTATTTCCAGAGGTAGTTTAAAATATGGTGTAACTTTCAAAGAATAATTTGTATATGTATTTTGGACAAAAATTAACTTAAAATTAAAAGTTTTAAAATAACTTAGATATTCTTAACTTTACTATTAAAATTGGCAATAACACAGTACATAGTAACATGATTTTCTGAATACAGGTTTATAGTGAACATCAGCCAGCTATCTGTTTGGTTTTAATTTCAAGAAAATTAAGTTATGCTCTGAGCTTGTCAGGCACTCTATTAACATTTTTTTGGAATATAGTTCTGTCATTTCTTGGTGTGTTTTTTAGTACTTACACTTGGCACTATATAGTAATGGGCAATAGTGAGTAACTGGCAGTTTGACTTTGTGAATGCAAATTTAAAGAAAATAACAATTAGCTCATTCTCTTTTAATGCCCTTTTTAATTACTGCATGTAGCCTGACTTAAATCATCACATACTTGTTTCCTCTGGCTGCTTTTCTCATTTTCTTTTTCTTCTTGACTTCTCACCTTTTTGGTGGTTCCTGCTTCTCTGCCCAAGGTTATCATAGGATTATATGTAGAATCGTTAAGTTTTGAACTAAAAGGGAGCTTAGAGACAGCCTAACTTGGGAGTCCTTCATCTTTTTCATTTCTTGGGCCCCTCTGGCAGTTTAGTGAGCCATAAAGACCCCTTCTCAGAATAGAGTATTTGAATAATTGAAGGATATGTTAAGTTTCAGTTAGAGATTAATGAAAATAAAGATAAAATTTTTTTTAGCATCTAGGTTCATGGAGCTCCTGAAATCTATCCCCACCTACTTGTTTTACAGATGAGAAAGCTGATGCCTAGAGAGGTGAAGTAATGCTCTATCTACTTCACTGTGCTGCTTCGCAGAGCTAGGGTTTGAACCCACCTCTTTTGATTCAAGAGCAGAAACTCTTGCCGTTGTATCATACTGATATTTTGCATGTTTGGCTACTTACCCAGTTAGAGTAGGAACTGGGAAGGTGCTTGTGGTGATGGACTTGTGAGGGAAGAGAAGGGGAGAGATGTTATTTTGTAGAGGCAGAAATGACAATGCTTGCAACTACTGATTGAATATGCTGGGTAAGAGAAAGCAAAAGATTGAGGATGATTATGAGGTTGTGAACATTGATGACTAGAAGCACAGTTGTGCCCTTGATGAAAATAGGGAAGTTTGGAAGAGGAGTGGGTTAATGGGGAAAGATTATGACTATGTTTAGGACACATTGAGCTTGAGTTCAGTTTGCACTGAACTTACAAGTAAGCATATCCAGTGAATGTGGATTGAATAGTTTCAGTAATTTAATCTTGCTTAAGTATTGCGAAACCATAACCATCTGTTCTTTGAGGAATTAGATCATAGGTTCAGCTCTTGATATTGGTTCGATTTTCCTTTGTGAAAGTAAAAATCGACTATCCTTCAGATGTAATGATAATGCTAAGTTGTGTCCTTTGGTTTCCTTTTTCTGATAGTGTCTATGAGTTTGCCCTGAGTCATCCATATCCTTTTAGCCAACAGCATGCCTTCTGAGACAGATGGGTTAGGTTGGGAGCATTTTGGCTTTAGAATCATTTTCTCTTGTGAAGCTAATTGTTCTGTTGTCTTATGAAAACCCAACCTTGGCCCCCCTAGAGCTGTGTACTGACCAGATGAACTGAGTGCTTACTTACCCTGCATATTCAGATGGATTGAGTCAAGTGTATGAAAAGTGAAAAAGTCCAAGAGGACCCTTCTGCCCCTCCTACCTGAACTATTGCGGGTCTGCCCAAATTAAGTGATTTTCTCAAGCATCTTTCAGCTAGTAACTGTTTGAGGCAAGACTTGAGCCTTGGTTTTCCCTACTCCAAGTCCAGTGCTCTATCCACTGTACCGTATTGTCTTCCTTAGAACTGAGGAAGATATATATTTGGCCTTGTGTGAAAGCTTTGAAAGTTCCTTTGAAAATAATAGTATTTTGCATGTCACTTGTGTTCCCTGTAAATCCAAGAAACATTCAAAATTGAAGATCTTTACATAGAAATTGGAACTCTACTACTTATCTGCCCCCAAATAAGAAAAACTTGGATGTGGCCTTTTGAAGGAATGTTCCTTTAGCACATGTAAGCCTTTAATAATTTCATTTGGAAAATGCTCATTCTTGACATGAACTGCTGTTATACTTTTGGCCTTGAAATGCCACATTTCATTTGCACTAAATCTATTTTTCATCATCATCATCATTTTTTTTTAAAGTGGCAATAAAGCTGTGGTTGCATTGCTTAATTGACTCAGCTGTAAACTTTGTTCATGAGGAGGTGAAGTCATGCTTTAGAGTGATGCTTGGAATACAGAGTAGGGAATCCTTGCCACCATTTTTATGTTTAAAATCAGGATTTTTTCCCTTTTGGGAGAAAAGACTTAATCAGGCAAAGTCTTTGGATTTCCAGAGTCTGTTCTTTCACCTTTGGTGATAAACAAGCTGTTCTGGCTGCTTTGCTGACTAGTGGGATGTTATTAAACTGGCTAAGTTATTTGGTTTGAAATCCTCTTTAGGGACTCAGTGAGTGATTTTTAAATGTTACTACTCAGATCTGGGTCACTGCATTTGGGAGGGTGAGCCAGAGGGTGACATTTATAACAAATCAACTTAGGAGTAGGTTGTTAACTCGTGGTTTAAATTGGGCAGCTTTGGTAAAGAGAGACTTTTCTGTCAAAAATCTGTTTATCAACAACTTTTCCTGTCATTGTAGGAGTAGATGTTACTTATCTTCTTTTTTGTCTGCTGAATTAAATTAGGTCTTCCTCTTTCTTTGACTCAGCTTTTGTACAGCATAATTCTTACCATGCACCCCTCTTAGTCATTTTCTTCTCAGAAGACTACTTTCCAAGTGCTATTCATGGTGAGGCAGAGTGCAATTAAAAACAAAATCTATGTATATTTAGATGTGTCCATCGAGAAAAAAAAAGTTGCTAAAAGTTTTAGAGAATCCAGGTGGTTTGATTTATGACACTGAATTCCGGTACCAGGGATTGATCACCACAGGTCTTAACTAGGTTCATAATTTGTGTTTCATTAAAGGATGAACACATTTCTGGCAATAATAGCTCTTATTTTGTATTTGAATGAAGAGTAATCTGACTTTGGGATGAGAGATGCCTGTATTCTGTTTTCTGATGAACCTTTGATGTATCTTACCAGAAGCTGACTCTGAAGATCTCATAGAAGAACTGCTCTGCTGCTTAATCAAGTTAATCATTGACATCCCACTCTTGTAAGTTCTGATCATCAGGATTTGTTTATGTTTTCTTTGTATTCTCAAAATGATGAGTTTGTTAGCATTTTATAGTTCATAAAACTAGATATAGTACTTTTATTTTGTCTCTTTCAAAGCCATATATCCACAGTATCTTCTTTTTTGTGTTGGCCCAATAGCATTCTAATTGTGTCTATACAATGTACAAACAGTTGGTCAACCCAGCCAAAAGATTAGACTGTTCAGTGGACTTAAAAAAAAAAGTTAAACTAATTTCTGGACCAAATTTGGCATATGATTTTCACTCAGTGTTTATTCATTTAAGTCATTACTTGTCCTGTTTACCCAGTGTCTATTGTCCTTTGTAGAGAAAGAGCTGTGGAGAGAATAGATTATTTGAAGATTAAAAATTAGATACTTTGCCATAATAATTCTGGTCCTAATCATTGCTAAATTGCCTTGCTTTTTTTTTTTTAAGTAATTTCCTTTTGGGTGAGGACAACTTAATCATCCGTGACTGAATATTATTGTTTGATGATAGTCCAGAAATATTTATACTACTGTGCATTCTGTCTCTGTCTTCTTTGAACACATTGAAGCAGCTAGGTTAGTTTATTGTCTAGGCTTCTCTGGATGCTCTTTTTAAAAATTTTAACTTTTTAATTTTTTTATTAATTTATTTTTATTTATCAACAATCACTTCCATAAGCTTTTGAGTTTTAAATTTTTCTCTCCCCTCCATCCCCCCTCTCTCCCCAAGACAGTGAGCAGTGTGATATAGGGTTACATATACATTCCTATTAAACATATTTTCACATTAGTCATGTTGTAAGGAAGAATTAGAACCAATAAGAAGAACCACCAGAAGAAGAAACAAAACAAAACAGAAGAAAAAAATAGAAATAGTATGCTTTAATCTGCATTCAAACTCTATCTTTGGATGTGGATAGCATTTTTCTGGATGCCCTTTTGATCGTATCAGAGGATAGTAGAGTTAGAGGTTTTGTGAATCATTTCTAGCCATGGAGATGCTGGGTAGCCTTGGGTAGACCTTAAAACTAAAGGAAATTTATCAATTAACAAGTATAAATTTTGAGTAATAACATTGTGTTATATTTATCTTTGTTGACAAAGGGAATTGTTCATTAATAAAACGTTTTCAGATAATACCATCAATAGATTTTAAAACTTTCTCAGTACATGAAATATTTTTTTTTCTTTCGTATCTCCCATAGTGTCTAAGAGTTTGCTTTTTATACTGTGAATGTCCAATTAAAATGGGTAAACTAATTGGCATTTCAATTCATTTCCAGAATAATTTTATTTTAGGTCTTTTAATTTATAAAAATCTCTTTTCTCTCCCTCCTAGAAAAAGCAAACAACAACAAACAAAAGCAAAAGTCTAAAACCCTTGTAACAAATATGCATAGGCAAGAAAAGCAAATTCCCCCAAAGACCATGTTCAAGAATATATGTGTCTCTTTCTCTCCCCTGTGTCATCACCTCTTTGTCAGGAGGTGGTTGGCGTGCTTCATCATGGGTACTCTGGAATTGTGGGTGGTCATTACATTGATCAGATTGATTGTTTTTCTTTTAAAGTTATTTGTCTTTACAACGTTCTTATAGAGATTTTTCTCCTGGTTTTGTGTATTTCGCACTGCATCAGTTCATACAAGCCTCCCCAGGTCTCTGAATTTGTCCTTTTCATCATTTCTTATAGTACAGTGTATTTTTACATGCATATACTATAATTTGTTTAGCCATTCCCCAACTGATGGACACCTTCTTAATTTCCAATTCTTTGCCAGAACAACATGAGCTGCTACAAATGGTTCTGTACGTAAGAGTCCTTTCCCCTTTTTTTTGATCTCTTTGGTGGTATCACTAGGTCAAAGGATATGTATAGCTTAGTACCTTTTGCAGAATGGGTGTATCACTTCCCAGCTCCACCAACAGTGCATTAATCTGCCTGTTTTCTCACAGGTCACTCAACATGTTATATTTTTGTCAACTTTGTTACTCTAATTGGTGCAAGGTGGAACCTCAGAGTTGCTTTAATGTGCATTTCTTAAATTATTAGTGTTTTGGAACAATTTTCATATGGATATTGATGGACTGGATTTCTTCCTTTGGAAACAGCTTGTTCATGTCCTTTGGCCATTTGGAGAATAGCTCTTATTGGTTGGAATCAGTTCCTTATAGATCTTGGAAATTAGATGTTTATCAGAGAAACTCATTACAAAGATTTTCCTCCCCATTCTTCACATTTATAATTTTGATTATTAATTGGGTATTTCCCTCCATCTTATTCTCCTAAACATTTTCTTTTTTGCTTATTGCCCTTCTTTACAAAGAACAGGATGGTAAACAAGAAAGAATGTGCTTAGCTTTTCCTCCTCTTCCTTCTCTCCTGTTTTCCTGTTGACTAAATTTATTTCTATCCCCGATTTTGTGTGTGCTTGTGCATCCACGCACATGTGTATGCATGTGCTCTACCCTCTTTTGACCAATTCAGATGCAAATGAGTTTGTTGTTGCCCAGTCGTTCACCTCTTCCTCCTTGTTTGAATAGCCTTTGACTTGAACATACCAGTTATGTGAGAAAATTTTTTATATGCTTTCTCTCCTGCCTTCTTCTCTGATTTGTTCCCTTCTTCCTCCCTTTCCATTCTTCTTTTAAGATCATCAAAACACAATGAAGCCACTTCTAGGCCCTCTGTCTTATTTAACTCCTTCCATGACCCTTGATGATATTTTAGGGTTCTGAGCAGATACTTGTGTTATCTTTCTTATTTGAATGTAATCATTTCGCCCTGGTTTGTTGTGTCCAACTCTTTGTGATCCCAGGAAGCATCCCATTCATGAGGTTTTCTTGGCAAAGATCCTGGAACCTTTTGCCATTTTCTCTTCCAGTAGATTAAGGCAAATAGAGGTTAAGTGACTTGCCCAGGTCACACAGCTTGTGAGTGTCTGAAGCTGGATTTAAACTTAGGTCTTCCTGGTTTCAGGCCCAGCTCTTTATCCCTGGGCGATCTAGTTGCCTTCTCACCCTTGTTTAATCTTTTCTTATAGCTTGCTAGTATTTACCTTTTTATATTTTTTGACTCCTGTGTTTGAATTTCAAAGTTTGTACTCAGCTCAGCTCTTTTCATCAGGAAAGCTTGGAAGTTCTTTATTTCATATAAAGTTTATTTCTCCCCTTGTAGAGATTATATTTAATTTTTTTGGGAGAAGTTATTGGTTTTAAACTGCTTTCTTTTGCATTTTTCTGACTATGCCTCCTTTGTTGTGCCTTTTTTTTTTCTGGCTTCATTCAGTACTTTTTCTTTGACCAGGAAGATCTTGATTTTTACAATGTCATTCTTAGGAATTTTCCTTTAGGAAAATTTCAGGAAGTGATTGGTAGATTTTTCTGTTTTCACTTTGTCCTTTATTTCTAAGAGATCTGGCCCATTTTCTTTTATTATTTCTTGAAGTGTGATTTTTGTTTTTGTTTGTCGTATGTTTTCAGGTAATACAGTGATTCTTAAATTTTCTCTTCTTGACTTTTCATTTCATTTGTTCCTGTCATGAGATAAGATGTTTTCTTCAGCTTTTTTCAGTCTTTTTGATTTGGTTTTAATGTTTTTCATTGTCGCATAGAGTCATTTACTTCTATTTGATCCATTTTAATTTTCATAGAGTCTTATTGCTTGTCTAAGGTTTTGTACCTCTTGTACTGTTATAGTTCTCTAAGTCTGTAGTGCATTGCCCTCATTTCTTTTCCAGTTCTTTCTAGCTCTTTCATTTTACTTACAAAATCATTTTTAACTTTTTCTTTTTAAATTCTTCATTTCTTCCAGGAATTCTGGGGGAATTGTGTCCAAGCCTTGCTTTTCTTTTAGGCATTACTTATAGATATTTTGGAGTCATTTTATTCTTTTGGATTTGTGTCTTGGGTATCTCGTGGCACCATAATCGCTTGTTATGGTGGGATTCTTTTTTTCTTTACTCATTCCTCCACATTTATTTAACAAATTGAAAATTTGTTGTAGGGCCAATCTCTGTGTCCTTCTGGAGAAGGAGCATCTGAGCCTTGCTTGTATCTTTGTTGCATTCTCTTGGGTCCTACTTTCCTGGGGATATTGAGTGCTGTGTTCTTCAGGAATTTTAGGGGTGGCCTAGGCTGTGGACCTGCAAATATTCAGCATACTCAGAGTTATCTGAGCCAAGGATGATTGTAGCCCTTCTGGTTTCAGTTTTATAAGCTCCTGACCCCAGTTTTGATCTTGACAAAACAACTGTGAGACTGCCTCTGGTTGGAGCTCTAGTAAACTATCACTGTCAACTAGCTGGGAAGTTCTGCAGGTCCAGAGGGATGGACTTCTTCCCTGATTATTCCAATGAAGGTATCAGACTGTGCTTAGGGCTGCATCTGAGACTCGACCTCTCCAGGATCAGAGCTATACAGTTGCTCCTCATTTTTGTTCTTGATCTTTGCCCAGTACACTGAAACCTCAGGTCCTGTGACTGCTCCATGCCCTGGACACCACCCACAACCCCTATCCCCCCCAACACCCATGCAGCCCTGGTACTCAGCCTTATTGCAATGACGGAGCTTCCTGTTGCTGCTTTTTCCTACTCCCTGAACAATGTTAGATTCAATGCTGAATTCTATACCTCTTCTTGCCTCAGTGCACATGTGCAGGTTCCAGTTCAGTCTTTGTGCCTCAGGCTTTGCATGGGAATCCCAGCTGGCCCTGTTTTCCTTGTCAGCAGGCCACTTTTGTGTGTGTGTGTGAGGCATTTGGGGTTAAATGACTTGCCCAGGGTCACACAGCTAGTAAGTTTCAAGTGTCTGAGGCTGGATTTGAACCCAGGTCCTCCTGACTCCAAGGCTGAGCTCTATCTACTGCACCACCTAGCTTCCCCCAGGCCACTTTCTTCTAGGCCTGTTTGGGATAGAAATGGCAGTAGATCATTTCCCCTTGTATTCCCAAGCAGAATTTGACCCAGTGTCCTTGTTAAGTCTTTGTGGAG